AAATTACAGAAGGCAGTTTTTAATCTTTTAGTTGTTAATGATTGCTCAGAAAAAACCGTTATACTCATAAAAGACAATGTTGATATTGCCCAAAACGAAGAGAAAAGACAGGATTAGAAAGAAAGTATGGAGGAAAAACCAAGACATCCAAAAAAAACAATATAAAAATTTAACATAATATTTTTAAAAACTAAAGCAATTATAATGAAATTTGTTTAATAAAATTGCTAGACGTTTTATTTAGTATAATAAGATTTTTTTTCGTTTTATGCAGTTTAATAAAGTTTTATGCAATATAATAAGGTTTTTATAGACGCAGTTAAATAAAGTTTTATGCAATATAATAAGGTTTTTTAGAAACTATGGACCAAAACAATGCCAAAAAAAATACCACTAGATATCGTATTTCTCGACTTTTCAAATGCATTTGATTTAGTACAGCATACTAGCCTTATTAAAAACTGAGCAAATATGGAATAACAGGTTAAATGCTTGCATGGATTTGTTCGTTTTTAACAAATGAACGACAGCAAGTTGTTCTAGGCTACACAATATCAGGATGGGCACCAGTGTCTAGCAGTATTGTCCAAGGATCCGTGCTAGGACCAATTCTATTTGCCATCTTCATTAACAACCTCCCAGACAACATTTATTCTTGCTGCAAAATGTTTGCGGATGATACCAAATTCAGCACTACGGAAAAATCTCTATACAACATGTCAGAACACATTCGGAATATGCAATATGCACTTGGTCACCATTGACAAAATAGGATCAAAAAACACTTGAAAAAGTTCAGCAGCAAGCCACCAAGATTGGACACGCAATGAGGCAACCTAGCTATGAAGAAAGGCTAATCAAACTCAATCTAACTAGTCTAATTTTGCGTTGACAAGGGGGCGATCTCATTCAATAATTTAAAATATTAAAAGGAATCAACAAAGGTGTGTCAATCAAAATGGTGTGTACTAACAATCACAAGAGAACCAAGAGCAGGTTGTAGAGGACAACTGAGCAAAGAATTAGTCCACAACAGCGCACTGCAAAGCAACTTTCACACTAACAGAATTGTGAACTGTTGGAATTCTCTAACCGACAATACAGTAAATGTAGAAACAGTCAACACATTCAAGAATCGGCTGGACAACCTCCAGCAAAGTTGCTACAGTGGCTTATCCTCAAATGGATTACTTTGTGTGAGCCAATAAGCTCGCATTGCAACTTATTATAACTAACTAACTAACAATGGTGTTCTAACAATGTACAGTGTAAATTTTTTTTTCTCAAAATCTTGCTCCCTGTTGATTTTCTCATTTCTTTATATATTTTAGAATAAGTAAACAAATTTTAAGTAATTTTGTAGTGTCTAAGCCTTGCCACCAGCTCCAAAAAATTAATAGCTTAAAGTTTTTTTTGTTTAATTTTACGATATGTTTTGTTTGCATACGTTATGTAAATTTGACACAAATTTTTGGCAATTATTACATAATTGATACAAAATTCATAATTATATTATGAATATAATATAAATTTATTAAATAAAAATAAATAATCTATAATTAAGGCATGCAAATAATGATATTTAACTGAAATTACCTTATATTTTAATATGTATATTATCTTTAATAATATGTTTTTATAATATCTTTTTTTTAAATCTCTTTAATTCTATTATTTATTTTTATTTTAAGATAAATTATCAAAGATTTTTTAAGATATTAGATGAAACTAAATTTTAAGTATTGCACTTTTTTACTTGGACGCTACTCGTCACTTTAACCCAATTATGGATAGTTTAGTTTTAAGAAAAGACATTGATATCTGGTTGTTAGGAAAACCATTAAATCAATTTTTACCATCAAGAATTCCATCAAAGGGAGATGTCCTGTGTTTCTTTTTCTTTATAAAAGATGGACCCATGAAACATGCTAAACATGTCAACTGTAATGGTGCTATAGCAAGCATGGTTATTGTAGAAATTCAAAATCAATTGGATAAAGCTGGAATTGCAATTCAACACAAAGTGAATTGCAATTCCAGATGCTCATAGAACACTTCAAAATGATGCTCATAGAACACTTCAAAAGAAGAAAGAATGTCAATCTAATGAAGCCAAAAAAAAACTGTTTTTTGATGATCTGAAAAATTATTTTTATATTGCCCACTAAGATGCTCAAAACAAAATAGAAACTGACTGACTTTGTGATAGTGAGCAGAAAAGAGAAGATATTGAATTTCTTATGACAGTTAGAGAACAGAAGCAAGTTATTTTGGGATTAGAAGACCAAGCATACAAAGGAAAATTACATAGAAAATACAAAGAGAGAATTGAAATGACAAGAAGAATGGTTGAAGAAAAAAGAAGACAAAATCTTTCAGCAACAACAAATACAAAACCTGAAACATACGTACGTACTGAAGTAGACTGCAAATGATTCAAGTTTCACAGTTATATACAGTTCAGACAATTCTGAAGATAAAGATTTTGAAAAACCACCTAGTTCTGCTACGAAACCAAAAAACATCCAAACTGATAAAAACAGAGTAACTACACTAGCTCTTCCACGCAATCCATTCAAAAGTGAAAAAACTTCAGCAATGATAAAAATCCAAACTGATAAAAACAGAGTAGCTACACTAGCTCTTCCACGCAATCCATTCAAAAGTGAAAAAACTTCAGCAATGGCAGATCGCTTAAATTTATCAGCTGGTAAAAGAACAGCTTTCATGGCAGCTATAATTTCAGAGGGTGGTGATGATTTGCAGTGTGTGACTTTATCAAAAAAAAGCAGCAGAACAATGGCTAAAAAACTTTGAATAAAATATGGGATGAGATTGTTTTACATACATCCCACTACATTTGTTTCCCCAAAGTATGTTACATTACATTGAGATGAAAAAATTGTTCCAGAGGATGCTGGATGGCTAGATGTTCTTATAGCTGGGATTCCAAACTGTATAGAAGGTAAACTACTTGGGGTTTCAGTAATCTCTGATGGAACTAGTGCAACTATGGCTAACACCAGCCATTCTCTTGTGGTTCCAGCCAGGAAGGTAGAACAGTTAATTGTTGGACTAGTTTTTGATACCACAGCATCAAATTCTGGGTGGAAAAATGGTGCATGCCTACAGTTGGAATCATTGCTAGACGAGAAGCTTTTCTATTTTGCTTGTTGACATCATGTAATGGGAAAGAATTTTATGTTCTGCCTAGCAAAAGATTTTTGGTCCGACATAAAGTCCTGACACTCCTGAGTTCAAAGAATATAAGAAACCTTGGGAAACCATTGAAGATCGATAAAAATTTAAAATTTTACATATCACTGATCGTTGTCTTAAACAGCAGAAAGACAAAGTTGTTAATTTTTTGCATCAAATGTTGACTTCAGCTGACAGTGACAGCTTGCCTTATGATGGTTACAGAGAATGTGCAGAATTCATGCTAATACTTTTTAGAGAAACACTTCCTTGTGGGGTGCACTGGCTAAAACCTGGTGCAAACCATCATGCCTGCTAGATGGCAACTGTTATATATAGTGATAAGATGTATGCCTTAGGTGACCAGCTAAATTATGATCAAGATAAAATGGAGAAACTGCGCTGTGTTTGAATATATAATGTACTCTTCTATGTAAAGCCGTAGCTAGTCACCCCTTTTGCAGATGATGCAATATCAAATGATCTCCAGATATACCATGACCTTCACTTGTTAATGAAAATTGACCCAGAGGTTGGTGAAGCAACTATTCTTGCACTGAACAGGCATCTGTGGTATCTGACCGAAGAAACTGCTACTTTTTCTCTTTTTTCAAGTTTGGTGCCAGATTCGGAGAGAAAACAAATAGCCAGACAACTTATCAAAGGTTAAAATAAAGGAGTACCAGTTTTTCCACAGTTGATTTCATCCACAAAAATAGTACATTTGATTGGCAAGAAATCTTGGCTTCTGTTCAACCTACTCAGAATTAAAACTGCCTGGTTACACTTGTCGCCAGCACAGTGGGAAACAAGTAGTGATTTTTAATAGCTATGTTTATTTGTCATGCAAAAGTTGTAAATGATCTTGTTGAAAGCTATGAAACTCATCACAGACTTTGCAAACACTTTAACTAAAGATGAAGTACAGAAACAATATTTGTTACAGGTTATTGAAAAACACAGACACAAAGTACCAGACATCAGTACTAATTTAGCATATTTAAATCTTATAAAATAACTTTACTAAACTTTTCATTATGTGAAATTGTCTGTGTCCATTGTACAGCCATTTGTGTTCCACAAATGGCTGTACAATGGACACAGTAGAATGTGAACTTTCCATGTTGTATTAAAATTTTTATTTAAATTTAATGTAACCTTTTGTGAAAAAAGAAATGAACTTTTTAAATTTATTAGTGCTTGTTTGAAGCCAGGTTTTAACTTGCTACAAAAACAACAAATTTTTTCGCTATGAAAGTCTTTTAAACAATTAGAATCAAAAAGTAATTGGTTCTAAAATTTTTGTTTTAAGAGAATCTAAGTTGTCAAATATTTTGTTTGAATTATTTCCATTCCTGCCTCTACCTCTCTGAATGACATTTTTTGACTTCAGCCAATCATCAAATCCTGGCTAGACATCCAACAAAAAGTTTCTAGGCAGTCAAAAAGTAATTGTTAAAATAATAATAAGTCAATTAATTTCTATCATTTACTAGAAAATATGAAAATAATTAGATTATATCAGAAATAAGTTTATATATCTTAAGCGTAAAAAGACCTACAATGACCTGTTTTGCAGGTCTAAAGAGCTTGCAATAATGATAATAGTAGTAATAAAGGATAAACATTATTAAAATAATATGTGATCAACAATAATATTATTTGAATTTAAATAAATTAAATTTTTTTATAATTCAATTTTAATATTTATTAATTTTTTTTTTTTTTTAATTATCAGCCATAAAGAAATTATAATTAGGTTATTTTCAAGTTATTTTTAATCATTAATAAATTGTTTTTAGCCATTATGAATTTGACATTCAAGAAAGTTCCAGCAACTGTTTAAATAACAGTAACACAACAATCAAGTTGCTTTATACACTAGAATATAATCAGCTTGTAATTCCCAAAGGTGAAGAAAATATCACATTCCAGACAAACTACATTCATTTAAGTTTGATTGGAAAGTTTTGTATATGTTATCGAGCTGTGATTAATGACAGTGTAAGTTACTTGAGAATTTTGTTTTAAAATTTAATTTAATTTTATTTTATTTTAATAATTTTAGCTTTTAATAATTATTTTTTTATTATCATATATTATTTTTTTTTTATATAATATTACTCTTAATAGTTTTTTCAATATTTGATTTTAATTTTTATCTTGATAAAAAATTGAATTTTAAAAAAAATTTCCATTTTGATGATAAATTACTATATTAGGGATGTACCTGAATTCTGGCTGGAATTTGTGACATTTAGGTCATTCCAGTTCCGGCCATAAGGCTGGAATTTTTTTTTTTTAAACATGTGACACAGACCTGTAAAAAACATTGTCCTACAGGGCAATGGAGAATTATAGGTTAACCTAGGTAAAAAGTACTAAATTAATAACAAACACACTGTAATTTTATTTGCAGTAATCAATTATGTAAAGATTTCTAGAAGTTTAGAAATATTGTGGTGCAAAAAGAGTTGCTATCCCGCTTTAGGCAAAAAACTATTTCTTTTTTCATCAAAACTGTTACCTGCTTCTGTGTAGAATGCCTAATAAAAATATATATTTCTATTATAGCCTAAATGGAAAAATAGAAAACAAAGAAATATTTTTAAACATAAATATTATGCAGGTTAAAACTTTCAATAAATAAAATAAGAAAAAAATAAAAACAATATATTAGCTTTAAATGAAACAATAATCAAGTTAATGAAATATGTATATATACATATTATAGGTTATAAATATATATAAATATATATATATATATATATATATATATATATATATATATATATATATATATATATATATATATATATATATATATATTTATTTATTTATTTGGGAGAGAGGGGTCAATAGATTTGGTTAAGAAAAAAGTTAATTTTTACTCATTATTTATAAGTGTACATTTTATTTTTATACCTCATTTACTCTAAAGAAATTTCTATTCTATAAAGTTTCAATTGAATAATGTTTACTTTTGCATATTAAACATAAGTATTTACAAATTTTTAAAAAAATCTTTAGAAATGTTGAATTTCATTCTTCAATGTTTTATGGTTATTAGCCGAATGATAAAAATGGTCTTCAAAATTTTAATTTTGATTACTGATTTTACAAAAAAAAATTTGCTGACGGGCGGTACAATAAAGATGACAATAACAGTAAATGTGTTGTTATTTCTTTTTCATAGTGTTTGAGAATTCAGATTTTCTCATAGAAATTGAATTCAATTTAAATATTGTACCAATGTTTTATTATAAGAGAATAGAACATTAAAAGAATTCAAAAAATTATACTGTGTTATTAGCTTACTTTGAACAGAATTTATTTGATTTTTTTTTTTATCAAATCTTGTAACAAATGCAAATGTTCATATAATTTGCAATCTTTTAAGTCTTCTGTCAATCGTTATCTTGGTCAACAATCTTCATCTTTTCTCTTCCAGTAACTTCTAAAACTAATTAGTTGTTGCTTGCAGTCTTGTTAGAAGCGAAGATGTCTAAAAAAAAAAATTGTTATAGGAAGGCAAAATGTTATAAATATTATAAATTCATGTTATAAACAAATGGTAAGGTAAGACATATGCAGTAGTTAAAAAAAAACACCTCCAAGATAATTTAAATTTATTACAAAAGGTTGGACATTTTAAAAGTTTTTGGCTTTGCCTGCCAGACAGGAGACAAAAGGCCAAAAAGTAGAACATTTCCAAAAACAAGAAATTTTGATTTGTCCATCTACAATACATTTTGCCAGTGTATATCTGTTCAATTTGAATGTGCTAGAGCCCATTGAAGCCTCTTTTTAGTTTATTGCTTTTAGAAGAGGTTTTTGAACAGCTATTCTACCATTTAAGCCAATAATTTTCAAGCGATGTCTTACAGTTTTTTCTGAAATAGTTTTATTATGAGCAGCATTGAAGTTAGATGTTATTTCTTGGGCTGTTAATCGTCTATTTAGTTTACATGAGAGTATAATTGACTTTTCTTTAGCCTTTGATGTTTTGCAGGGATGTCCAGTTCTTTTCCTATTTTTATTTGTTCCAGTACATTTAAGCTGGCAAATAGTGTCACTCACAATTGATTGTGGTATTTTCAACAATTTTCGAATATATTTTGTAGAACCACCATCATTTACCAAAAAATAGCCTTTGATGTTTTGCAAGAGCGTCAAGTTCTTTTCCTATCTTTATTTGTACCAGCCGGCAAATAGTATCATTCATTGTTGATTGCGGTATTTTCAACAATTTTTGAATATATCTAGTAGAATGACCATCATTTGCCAGAGCAACAACTGAAGAACGTGTTTCTAGTGATAAATTACATTTCTTTGACATTTTATATTATTTTTTCAAACAGCTGCTCTACCATTTAAGACAACACTTTTTAAGCAATGTCTTACAGTTCTTTCTGAAATAATTTTATTTTGAGCAGCATTTAAGTTAAATGTTATTTATTGGGCTGTTATGTAAAAAAAATCATCTATTTCCTTTAAATAAGAGTATAACTGACTTGCCTTCAGCCTTTGATATTTTGCAGGAATGTCCAGTTCTTTTCCTATTTTTATTTGTGCCAGTACATTTAAGCTAGCGAGTAGTATCACTCACAATTGATTGTGGTATTTTCAACAATTTTCGAATATATTTTGTAGAACCACCATCATTTACCAAAATTCAGCAACAATTGAATAATTTGTTTCTAGTGATAAATTAGATTTCTTTGACATGTGATTTTATTTTACAAAATTTCTGTCTAAAAATAATCAAAATACACTTTTATAAATTGGAAATTAAAAAAATTATATTAAATTTAATTCAGCTGTTTAAAATATTTACTAAATTAATCCAATATATTAACTTTAATGAATTATCCAGTTGAATTTTATTTACAAATTTTTTACTAAGCATGTTCGAGTATGTTTGTAATACGAAACAAAGAAAGCATTTTGCATTTCAATATTAAAAAAAACATTAGCACATCTTAATTGAATTATTTTATGGCTTATAAACATTTTAACATTTAATATCAATTATTACAAGTTTATTTAACACATTAGCACATTTTAATTGAATTATTTTATGATTTATAACAAATTTTAAAATTTAATATCAATTATTATCAAAACTTCAAGTGACTAGAAACTTTTGCCAGGCAGTGTATAACGGGTGAGGAAAAATTAGTTACACGTAAGTTAACTTAGTTTTGCTTGAAATCCATAATATTATAATTTAGCATTCAAATGTAATTTGTAAAAAATTGTTCAAAAAAAGAGTTAACTGGCAAAGAAAGAGCAGTTCTTCAAAATAATGTCAAAGATTATTTTGTAAAAAATCTAAAAGCTACCAAAGCTGAAGCTGCTAACAATTTTATCAAAGAAGGAATCTGTCGCAAAACAGCATATAATTATATCAAATGACACCTTACAAGACAGTGTTTAAAAGTTAAAAAAAATTTTGGATGACCATCATTGCGGACTTGAGAAAAAAAAAGCAAAACTTCTCAGGTTGACCAACAATTGAAAAGGTGTAAGTCAAAGAAAACTTGCACGTAAATTCAACATCAATTAAAAGACAATTTGTACACAATCGACCAAAATGAACATTAAGTACCGTAAACATGAAAAAACACCCAAATATAATGGACATCATCTAATGTCATAAAATCATCATAAAATCTAATGTCATAAAATCATAAAATCTAATGTCAAAAAATCATAAAATCTAATGTCATAAAATCATAAAATGATGGACAGCATCTAAGGGCACAAAAAAGAAGCTGAAAACTCGTAAATCACATCTATAAAGAACAGAGTGTTTTAATTTTAGATGGTGAAAAATACTTTTGTTTTGGCAGCAAAGAAATGCATGGAAATGCTGGATATTACATTGATGATAAAGACAAATCTCAAAATAATGTTAGTTTTGCAGAAAAAGAAAAGTCCCCATTATTTGAGCGCGGAATGTCTAAACCACTCTTTCGGTCAACAATATTGTCTGCAATTAAATTGTATCAATGCGTGTTTAAAAAAAATTGATGCAACATTTTTACAATCACTTATGAAGGGTATCAAGACAAAATTGAGATTAATAGCCGACAAGGGAGTGCTATGGGTTTATGAGAAATAATTTTGTTAAAATAAATATTGTATTAACTTAAAAAAAATATTTAAAAAAATATTGCTTTTATTTCTTTAAAAATATAAGGCTTTGATTTTTGTGTAACTAATTTCTCCTCACCCATTATATTATGCACTGCCCAGTCCATAATATTGATATTGTGTATATATATATATATATATATATATATATATATATATATATATATATATGTATATATATATATATATATATATATATATATATATATATATATATATATGTATGTATATATATATATATATATATATATATATATATATATATATATATATATATATGTATATATATATACATATATATATATATATATATATATATATATATATATATATATATATATATATATATATATATATATATATATATATATATATATATATATATATATATATATATATATATATATATATATATATATATATATATGGACTAAATACTTTTACAATACTTTTTTTAAATATCTGCTCTGAATTGAATTTATTGTATATGACACATATAGGGGATATGTGTCATATACAATAATACTGGATTTAAAAGTTTTTTGAGTAAAAAGTATTTTTAGGGGTTGCACAAGACCTTTAAACATCAGCTGGGTCCCTAATAATAACAGTGCCCAGTCCATAATATCAATATTATGGACTGGGCACTGCCCAGTCCATAATATTGATATTGTGTGTGTGTGTATATATATATATATATATATATATATATATATATATATATATATATATATATATATATATATATATATATATATATACATATACAGATGGGTCCCTAGTATTATTAAAAAAAAGATTTCTTTTTAAAGTATATATATGCTGGGTCTTAAAAGAAGCAAAATTTAAAAAAAAAATCATCATTTTATAAAAGCACTCAAGGAAAAAAATTGCAATCGAAAAGTTTTTTAAAAATTTTTTATTTTTATTTTTAGTTATAAAATATTATTTTTAAACAGTAAAATCTAAAATAGAAATGTTTTTATAAAATGATGGTTTGTTTTGAAACTTTTATATAATTTCTTTTAAGAACCATTATGTATACTTTTTAAAAATATTTTTTTCATAATATTAGGGACCCAGCTGATGTTTAAAGGTCTTGTACAACCCCTAAAAATACTTTTTACTCAAAAAACTTTTAAATCCAGTATTATTGTATATGACACATATCCCCTATATGTGTCATATACAATAAATTCAATTCAGAGCAGATATTTAAAAAAAGTATTGTAAAAAGTAATAAATATAGATAGATGTAATTTTTGTATGTATAATTTTGTTTTTAAATATTTTTTACATGAGGGGGTTATTTGTAAGAATGAAGGGATCTTTAGAGATTTTACTACAAAACTGTAGGTTTAGCCCCTACATTTATGTAGGGGAGAGTATATATATATATATATATATATATTTTTTTTTTTTTTTTAGGGAATACTTTATATGGGAAAAATTGCTTACTTGGATTTAGGTATGTTCCAATAAAAGTTAAAACCTGTTTTCTATCCTTAAGCCTAATTTTTATTAGAAATAAAAAAAAAACAATTTTAGACTCAATGTCAAATAAAAACTTTAGACTTATAGAAAATAAACAAAATTTATTTTAAAATTAGAATTTGTGGAAAATAATTTTTTTTACTCAGTAAATATAAAAAAAAAAAAAAAAAGTAAAACGTGTTTGTTTTAAAAGTATTAATAATAAAATATTTATAAATGTAATTTTTTTTTTTTTGAAAAAAATGAAGTGTAAGCTAACTATTATTTAGTTACAAAGTCTAATATGATCAAGTATATTAGAACTTTTTAGTTTAATTTATAAGCAGTGCTAACAACATGTTCTGTTCATTTTGGTATTACATAATAAAGTCTTGGATCAACTTTATATATTATTTTCTGAACAGCCATCAGTGAATTTCATACTTTTTGTAAACAATTTTAAACTTTACAGTATCTTCTTTTTCTTGTCTTCTTCAACATAATCTAAAGCCATAACAACAATCTGTTGATTTAAGCACAAGACATGATTATACATGTTTTTAGTAGTCATTGAGCAGGTTATTCTTTACTAAAATCAAATACACCCTTAAGAGCATTTAAAGTACCAAAAGCCAAGTTAAAGATATAAATAAGGAAGCTCTCTGATTCATCTTTTTATTCTTTTTGTTCATGATGTTAAAGATTTTATTTGTCATTTCTAATGTAAGCATATAGATTCTGCATCTTTTAAAGGTCCTAGCTGACAAAATATCATAGCAAGAACATTTCTACCAAGGTAGTAAACATAGAACTGACAGAGAATCTTAAAAAAATTCTTTTGAAGATTTTTTTTTATAGTGCTGTTTTGACAAACCTTAAAGCTGCTATAGCTTTTTGTAGATAAATAATTCTATATAAAGTCCAGCATTATCTTATCAGCATTATCTTATTAGCATTATCTTAGCACCATTATCTTATGATTATCAATCTTGTCCTTAATTTTTGGACCTTCTGTAAGCACACATAAATTACTGCCTTATTATTATTTTATTTAATTCTTATTATTTAACTTCTCAACCCTTTAAATTTCTCTTTCAAACCTTTGAAGTTCAACATCTTTATCTTTTGCAGTCATATTCTTATCTTCTTTATCTTTTGCACTCATATTCTTATCTTCTTTATCTTTTGCACTCATATTCTTATCTTCTTTATCTTTTGCACTCATATTTATCAACATCTTTATCTTTTGCAGTCATACTCATATTTCTTTCAGATCTCTGGTTTTCATAAACGACTGCTTTTTATCTTTTTGCTTCTTCTCTAGTTTTTTCATTATTAACTTTCATTATTATGTCATATATTCTGTTCCTCTCTGATTTTTCATTAATATGTCAATTAATTGAGGAACAGATTTCAAACAAGATTTGTTGTCAAACAAGGTATTACTCTTTATCTGAGACTCGTTTTTAAGTTCAGTTCGCTTTGCTGGAATTCCAGTTTATTTTATTCCATCCTTTCATTTACTATATTTCTTTGTAAGTGTAAGATCCTTTCACTAAAAAACTTGCTAAAATTACTAAAAAAGCAAATCTGGAAAAAATATTCTAAAAATATTGTTGTAAATGTTATCTAATAGATCTTCCACTGACAATGTTGCATTCTAATCCAAC